AAGAATGGATGCATTTGATTGTGATGCTATGGAAGCACCATGGACTGCTAAAAGGACAAACCAATCTTTACTGGAAGAAGTCATGCCAGAGTGCTCCTTAGAGGCACAGATGGCAAGACTTACCTTTTTTGGACATGCGTCCTGATGACCCTAGAGAAGGACAACATGTTTGGTAAAGCGGAGGGGCAGCAAAAACAGGAAGGCCCTCAGCAAGGTGGTTTGATACAGTGGCTGCAGCAGTGGCCTGAGGCGTGGCAACAGTGGTGAGGAGGGCACAGAGCATGCAGTTTTTCTGTCTGTTGTGCTATGGGTCTGAGCCTACTCAGTGGTACCTAACAACCACCATACCACCACCACCAACAACAGCAGTATACTCAATAAACAAAATCCTCACACCTTCCTCAGTGGTATTTGAAAAGCGAAATAAAGCATAGTATGACAAAATTGTATCTTGTTGCAAAACTAGCCCATGTCCTTCCCTTTTACCACTGTGAATACTTGAAAGCCTTATGTCATGTTCAGTGTCTTTTGAGGCTGAGCTATGAATACAAATGCGTCTGTCTAATTTACTCATTACTCAAGGTCTAAAAACAGTACAGCTGTGTCTTTGGAAATAAAGCAGTGAGTTAGATATCTATCAATTAAAAATCATTTTCTCACTGAACTGACACAATATTGTGAGAACTTGGCTCAAAAAGATATTTTATGATGTACTGAGTCAGTCATTTGAATGTTCAATTTCCTGTAGCAGAAATTGATACAGGCTTTCTTGGGGATATTTCATACTGTATTGTATGCAACCAGCAAGGGCCTGAATAGGACCAGCATTAAAGAATCCGCAGTTCTTCCGGGGACGCTGTGTAGAGGCTTTCAAAACGGTTCCGCATCTGACCTACCAGCGTAGGCTGTCCAACAATGCAGCCTCTAATAAAACTAGGCTGTGCAGAACTTGCTTACCTAAAGTTCTCATGAGGTTGTCCCAAAGCAAAAGATCGTGTCAGCTGGGCCTATGGTGGTTCCAGGTGTGCTAAGTGTGCCCGGGACAGGCTCTGGCCCACTTTCCTTATTGAGGAGCAGAACATGCTTGTGAAAGCGGTGAAGGCAGCACAGTGAGAACACTACACAGATAGGAATGAAGCTCGTTAGAATACTATTCAAATGGCTTGTTCTGTGGGGGGAGGGGGAGTGTTTATGAAACCGATCTTATACATGTTCTGCAAAGTTGAAGTAAAAAAGCAAACAAAAAGAAGATTATTACGTGTTGTATTAATTGCAAATTCTTTAGCCTGTAATTGAGGATAAATATTTATCGGGGTAATATGTCAAACTTATAAAATACTATTCTTTACAGAGAAAGCAGATAATGAAAAAGGAAATATAAATATGGAGTAACTTAATGTTCTGCACATTTGTTCTGTGTTTTTTAATAAAATTAATTCTTTGGAGAAGCACTAAGTTTGGGACTTTGCATCCATTTGAAAAAAGTAGATACTTCTGTAAAGAGTTGTAGTCTCTGAAATCCACAGGGGCAATGCTGCCTGTTTTATTGTCAACAATAATAAAATTTAAGAGAAAAATATGACTAATAAAACAGGAAGAGCTAGTGACACAGTGGGTTAAGTATCAGGAAAGTGATTCCAGTCCAGCAAAGATTTATAGCCTCGGAAATCCTTCTGACAACATGCCCAAAGTATGAGGGC